CATTTAGGTATAAATATAATTGCATTTTTATGATTAGCCCTCGGTCTGTAACGTGCAAAATAAATTGTCAACTTTTTCGGGGTGGCGGCAATGTCGCGGGTGTCATGGCGCCGTTCAAATTTCGTAGCGTTGATGTGTAATTAATTATAACAATTAAATTAGGTATCTGGTAACAAATACGAGTGGGTATAGACGATTTGTTATACAGTAAGTACAGTTGTATGCAGTAAAATCCTAGAGGCTACTGTCCCTTTAATTAGTTGCCACCTGTCGGCGCCGCGTTGAAGACGTCTGCGCCGACGCGTCCGTGACGACGACGCTGAACGTGTATCCGTCGCCCGCTGCAAGCACGCCCGCACGTACGGTGAGCGTGTCGGCAGTGCGACCCGTCCCCGCCTTCCGTGTCGACGTCCCACGATAGCGTCTGCACGCTGCACGCTGCAGAGAGTAGTAAGTAGTGGTTAGTAGCTGCCTTTTGTTTCGAGTTAGGCGAAAAATACATTCGGATTGATGGAAACAGAATGGATAATCGTGTCGTACGTTTTAGTCTGTATCTCCGGATTGCGGGTGTATACGAGGAAACGATTTCGCACGATGCTAGTCGAATGTACTGTGTACGATTTGAGCTCAAGTTGGTTGAGTTACGCGTAGTAAATCGTAGGTATTATAAGGCTAGTAAATGACGAATTTACCATGTTTATTGAAGTCCTACTCCTTCCCTATTATCTACTTCTGATCAATATGAATCAGGACACTGATGCGTGACATGCAAGGCTATTACCTTTTTTTAATAATGGCAACATTGACAGTGTTCTTTGTCAACAGTGATTACTTATCAAAGTCAATGTATCACTATGTCATAGCATTGTTATAAGAAAATGTGCTGCATATATGTACAATAATGATTTTTCATGTGAGGACTAAGTACTGCAAGCTTGAGTTGTACCTTTTAGCTACTTGAGATCCAGGGCTATGTAAGACTAAGATGCAGAGTGACATTTGACAGTTATTGCATTGTCGGTTTTGTCCTTCTGTGCATTCCCATCCTTTTCATTAAGTTCGCACTTCAGTCCACCATGGAGAATTCATGGTGATTGTAAAGTATGTGTTGACTCTTTCTGTTATGCCATTCACACACGCTCTCATCACGGGAAAAATACTTCTTTTTTTCACGGGAGCTCTTTTTCAAAAGTCTGTGGAAAAAATAGCTCTCGTCAAAAATGTTACGGGAGCGATTTCGGAGGTTTGAAGAGCCAATCGCTTATCGCTCCCGTGTATTTTTTTACCCTGGCTCTCATTGTAGTCGCCCCTGCTACCTTCCATCATAATATCTGACAGTGATCAATGATCACATCGTCAGCGTTCGCTCTCATTTCTTGCGCCGTTTACTTGCACTCGTACTATCGTCGCCCGCTACCTTCCACTATAATCAATATTTCACGGTGATCATATCATCCACGCTCGCTCTCATTTCTTGCGCCCCTTCACTATCGTCGTGCACTACCTTCCACGATAATATTTCCCGGCGAACGCATCATCCGCGTTTGTTAACATTTCTCGGCCGTTTACACGCGCGATCTCACCCATCCGCGTTGCCTCCCACCAGGCGGCGATTCGACTTCCAGTCGCCGTCGCGCATGGACCGCAACGTCGAGATGCTGATGAACATAGAGAAGGCGCTGCTGCAGAACAAGCTGCTGACGCTAGCTGCTCCCGCTCCCGCTGCTAGCGCGCACCAAAACTAGTGGCGAATTTCTATTGGGTGTAAAATCGATGCAGCCGCGTGATCTCGCGAGACTGTTAAAATGGTGATCATTAGGAAGAAAGACGGTAGTCCTAATATAAAATTTTTCGAATCCGTTGAAACCACAAGCCAATTCGATGTGATTAGAAATTGGCTCCTAAAAAACTGCAAAAAGGTAAGCTTTCCTTGTGCTTGATCGTGTTCATGGGTGCCTAGTTTTTACGGCAAAGTATGCTCGAATTTCGCTCGCCGGTTATTGTCCTCTCGCCAAAATGGCAATCATTGTCGTTATGCTGACGAATACTCGCATTGTCTTTTCCGTGTACTGTTGCTTTCGCATAGTGCGCTGCACTGTGTACAGAACTATGTACGCGTATGTGTTCTTCAGGATTGTATGTTATTAAACTGCATGTTTGTATAAACATAATATTATTTGCTCGTAAATGGAAATGTAACGTACTGTACATGATAACGTGTACAGTGTGAGTCACTGAGGGTGCATTGAACAGTGCACTGTGCAGTAAGTACAACTTCAAGCTAGCTGATGTCACAAATTGCTTCTAGTTTCTACTCTAGCCGCCATTGCATTACGACAGAACATAGTATGATAAACATCACTCCTGTCTAATGTTAATGCATACCACAGATCCTAAGTGAGCGAGATCAAGAAAGGCTAAAGAAGTACCGGGTACATAATTAATGGGGTTAGCCGCTAGCTTCGTCAGCAGGTGGCGCAGCGCGCGCAGCAGTTGTAGAGCCGGTTGCGCAATCACCCATGGCATGTAAACATAGTTACATACATCGATCACACATAGCCGATCCTATATTTTGATCAACATATCAGAACAAATTGAACATATTTATACCTAACTTTAAGTTTAAGAGCTCCTGATAGTACTATTCAGTATTCTCCCTTTAACCCAATATATAAGTTTTGCTCTGTCTGTTGATATAATCGAATAAATAGCCAGATGTCTCTAGGTATTAGAACCGCTAGTCGCGTAAGTTTATAACCACCGGCAATCGGTTTGTTGCGACTATTTTGATCAACATATCAGAACAAATCGAACATCTCTAGGTACTAGAACTGCGAGTTACCCAAGTTGGGGCATGTATACATTAGGTGACACAGGCGTTGTTACTTATGTCAGTGATAGCTATGGTGGAGCATGCCGTCAATGCTCAGGAAAGCCATCACTTCATGCAGAGACAGTTGTTTTGGATAGACATATCGCATCTAAGAGGATTCGTGTAGAGGGTCATTGGTCCAAGCAAGACATTTAAAATATTAAAAAGAGACCTGCCCCATCAGAAAATTTCTTCATGCTTCATAATTTCTAACTTTAGGTGAGCTATTGTCAGCAGTAATGCCTAGTGTCTGTAGTAAATGGCTGCGTTTTATAAATAAAGATATA